CACGCTACTACTACTACTACTACTACTACTACTACTACTACTACTACTACCACTACCTATACTACTTCTACTACTACTACTACTACTACTACTACTACTACTACTACTACTACTACTACTACTACTACTACTACTACTACTACTACTACTACGGCGATGACTATTACCAACCAATCTCCGAGGCGCGTGCGATGAAAGTCTGTGTTAGAGGCACCAAGCCGGGGACATTGAGCACCCATACCCGCGGAACTTTTGTTTTTGGGACCCCCCCACCCAACGATGTCCCTCCAAAAACCGACCGGCGTCCCCTTCCTCGTCCGACACCTCCACACACGGAACCTTTGTTCTTGGGACCCTTCCACCCCACGATTTTTCGCCCAAAATCCACAGACTCACCCCTCCTGGTCTGACACCCCCGCCCGCGGAACTTCTGTTCTTGGGACCCTCCCACCCCGCGATTTCCCGCTCAGAATCGACCGACGCCCCCCTCCTGGTCCGACACCCACACCCACGGATTCTCTGTTTTTGGGACCCCCCCACCCTACGAATTCCCGCCCAGAATCGACCGACACCCGTCTCCTGGTCCGACACCCCCACCCACGGATTCTCTGTTCTTGGGACCACCCCCCTTCAAAAATCAACCGACGCACCCCTCCTGGCCCGACACCCCCCACCGACGGAATCTCTGGCATTGGCCCCCCCACCCCACCCCACCCCATGATCCCCCGCCCAAAATCGACCGACGCCCCCCTCCTGGTCCGTCACCCCCACTCACGGAAGCTCTGCTCTTGGGCCCCCCCGCCCTACGATTTCCCGCCCAAAATCGACGGACGCCCCCCTCCTGGTCCGACACCCCCACCCGCGGATTCTCTGTTCTTGGGACCACCCCCCCCCGCGATTTCCCGCCCAACATCCACAGACGCACCCCTCCTGGTCCTTCCTTGGCTGCGGCAGCAGCCCGCTCAGCGACCAGGAGTTTCTCGTTGGTCTTGGCGGCGACGGCACGGGCGTCCGCGAGGCTCGCCTTGCCATCCTGCACGCCCTCGTTCTGGCCGAGGGCGTCGAGGGGCAGCGCCAGCTGGTCAAGGAGAGCGGCCGTGTCCCCCGTGGTGCCCATGGCAGCCTCTGCGCACGTGGTCTTCGCGATCGCCTCCAGCTCCGCCAGCTTGGCCTCGTGCTCGCGGAGCTGCCGCAATTCCGCGTCGTAGGCCCCCCGCGCGGCCGCCAGCTCCTGGGCTCGCTCCGCCGCGCGTGCCTTGGCCTTCTCCACCTGCTTGCTCTTGTCCGACTTCCCCTGGAGCACCTGGGCCAGCGGCTTCGAGGCGACGTCGGCCGCCTCCTGCTTGGGTGGAGCAGGCGCGACCACTGAGAGCTGTCCTTCGGCGAGGCCGCCCTTGCCAGCCGCCACCAGCGCCTTCTTGGTGGCTCCCAGCAGCTCGGCGACACTGAGGTCCGCGACCTTCGCCTCACTGCCGTTGCCCCTGGTTCCCTTGCAGCCGAAGTGGGCCGACCAGTTTTTGGCTTTGTGCCACTGGGCACCGCGAGCTTGAGCCTTAGGCTTGGCCTTGGCCTTGCCTTGGGGCTTGGCGGCTCCTGCGACGCCTCCTCCTCCTTCGCGCCATGGCGCTGCTCCGAGGCTGAGGGGCTGGAGTGACTTGAGGGCGGCGAGGATGCTGGGCGGCGCCTCAACCCCGCACGTTCTGCACTCCGCCCTGCTGATGTAGTTCGGGCAACCTCCGCACTTGCCCATGCATTTCCACTGTACCGTCGTTGAGGATCGGATCCCGGGCGCATCGCGGCGCGATGCCATGGGCCAACCAAGCTCGTCTCCGTGTCAGTTGGCTCGCAAGCGCGAGCCGCTCTGAAGTGCGCGCTTGCAAGCTCAGGGCCAAATGCCTGAGCCAGAACGGCTGTGAGGAAGCGGAGGAGGATGAGGAGGAGGAAGAGGAACAGGAGGAGAAGGATGAGGAGAAGAAAGGGGAGCGAGGAAGAGGGCTCCAGGATGGCTCCAGGGGCCCTTCCATGGAAGCGCCCAAAAGGGCCACAAGACGGTCCCTCTTAGGGCACTTCGGGGTCCTTCTTGGGGCCTTCCTGGGCTCCCGACGCGCTGCCTCTCCTGGGGGGGCAGACAGATAGCACAATGAAGAGGGGGGCAGCGGGGGCGGGGGCTCGAGGCCGCCAACTCAGAGGCCCCAGGGCCGCCTCCTGGAGCGCGCTGTGGCCAGGATGCCGAGCCGGAACCAGCAGAAGCGATGAGGGGGGCGCTTCAAAGGCCAGAGGGAAGAGGAGGAAGGAGGCGCCCCCCGACGCACCCCCCCCCCTCCCCAAAGCCGGCGGGGGACAAACAAATAGCACAACGATGGGGGGGGGGACCAGCGGGGGCCCCCGGGGCTCGAGGCCGCCCGGTCGGAGGGGGTCGAGGAGGAAGGCAAACGGTGTTTTTTTGTTTCGCTTCAACCCCTGAAAATGACAACACCACTGGTGAGGCGGCCCAGTGGTGAGGTTATGCGCGGTGGAGGAATGCGTTGACCCCACCACCTGAACTCCAGAGAGGCACCACCCCACAAGGGGAAGCGAGATGGCGTTGCATTTCGCTGAGAGGCCCGACCACGCCACCCCCACCGACTGGACCAGGTGAGGACATAACGGGGCAGCATGAAGGACCACTTCAAAACAATGAATGAATGAAGCCAGATGCGGTCCGTGAAAAGACTGGGCCAACGCCTAAACATCCAGAGAGCCGCCGCAGCTCTCAAAAGATGAATTGGAAGAGAAGATTTAACGTGTGAGGCCTCCGGGAGGCGCCGAGAGCCAGTACGAGCTGGCAGTCCTAACACAAGCTAATCAGCCAACGTCACAGCAAAAGGTGGGGAGGAGGCTAGTCCGAATCGCCAGAGGACACTTGGCCGCGCTGGGGCGCGTCGGAGTGTCCCGAGGCTTCGGCTCGCGACAACTGAGAAACATGGTGGCGGGCGGCTGTCTCAGCCAGGGCCGCCTTCTCCTGATCCCTTCTGCTCACTCCCGCCACCTCCTCGTCCGAAGGCGGCAACCAGAAGTTCGCGACACGGGAACTCCGCCGTCACTGCTGGCGTATGTGAGGAGCTTTTCCGTTTGAATCGTCGTCCTCTTCGGCGTTGTCGCAGTCACCGCTCCCCCCTGTCAGTGTCCGTGGACATTCCTCTTCAAACGTCCAAGCCAACAGAAATCGAGCAGCGTCGCAATCGAGTCGAAGGGAATCCCTAATCCAACCCCCGCCAGGGAGGGGGGGTCCCAGGGGTTGTAACCCCACCTGTGGGGGAGCATCCCTCCATGGGAGAAGTTTTCCCTTCGGTTCCTTGCCTCCCAGACGCCTCGGGCTCCCCCATTCAGGGTTGGCGACATCGGCCTGAAGACCTTCACAATAAAGATGTCGTTCGCTCCTCCCCCTCCTCCGCCTCCTCCTCCTCCTCCTCCTACGTCTCCTCCTCCTCTGCTGATCCCTCGTCAGAAGGAAAGCGTCAACACTCACATCAACTGTTGGAGGTCCGCGCGCATAATTATCTTGATCGGCGCTGGACCTCCCTGGAGCACGGAACGCACCAGGGGCGGTGCCCAGGGGCGCCGCCAGGAAGGTCCAGCGCCCATCCAAAAAACTCCGCGTGGACCTCCGAAAATGTATGTTCATGCAGATGTTCCCAGCGGAGTCACCTTTGGTGCGAAGCTTTTGGGGGCCCGGGGGGGACCAAACAAAAGCGCGCAATATGCTACTATCGCCTCGCCTTCGGCGATCGGGGGACCCCACTGGGCCCGCACCAAAGGTCGATCCCGCGAAGGGTAACTCTTACATGTAATCGAGTGCTCCTTCTTCGACTCAGTTCCTGCTCCCTCCTGGCCACCTCCTCTTCTTGCATTCCGCCCTCGCCTCGCGAGGCGGCCGGCCGAGCTGAGGGGCGCCACTCCTTCGTGATGCGCTCCATGCTGGGGCACATGTCCTGGCGTCGGCGCGGAGTCTGGAGATAGTGCGGACTGTGTGATGTTGAACCGTCCTGGGTGAATGATGAAGATGGTGATGCTGATGACGGTGTTGACGATGGGGGGAGGAAGAGGACGAGATTAAGAGGATGAGGAAAAGAAGAAGCAGCAGCCAGGAGGAGACTCGGTTTCAGCACTCCTGCCTCCCCTCCCATCCTCACCTTCCTCCCTCTCCCCTTCCTCCACATCCTCCCACTCCCTCCCATCTTCTCATCTGCCTCCTCCCGCCTCCTCCCCCCGTCCTCCCCCTCTGCCCTCTTCCTCCTGGACCTCCCTCCCCTCCGCCCCTCCTCGTCCTACCCTACACCCCGTCCTTCTCCTGCTCTTCCTCCTCCTCCCCTTCCCCATCCTCCCCCTGGTCCTCCAGCCCTCCACCTCCTCGTCGCGGACAAGAACGACACGAGGAGGAGGGACCGACAACGATGCTGGCGACGGCCTCGGCGACGACGGTTGCTCAGCGGCCGCTTCCTGGCACTTGTTCGCGACGTTGTGCATCACAGGGGGGAAATCGCCATTCTCCAAGCGGTCCACCATCATCTCAATCCTGCCGGGGCGGGGAGGACCCGGGAGGCCCGGCGGAGCAGAGACGGCTGCACACAACAGCGGCCCTGGGCAACAATGAGCTCTGCAGACCAACTGCGCGGCTCTGGGGGGCCGCTGGGGGCCAGATCCAGGGTCGCGAGCGAATGTTCACGGGGGACCCGTGGACCCTCGCCAAAATGCACTCCAGCGGCGAAGGGCCACTCTTAGGAGTGGCCGACCGAAGTAAGCCCCGGGAGGCGTAATGCCGTGAGTGAGGACGCAGGAGCGCCCAACTCCCAGCGATCGATCACAAACGTCTTGCTCCTCGTGGCACCGCTGTGCCCACAGCAGGGGCAGACGGCGGACACCAAGCAAGACCCCCAAAAAACCCACTATAGCCCTCTGGGGGACAGGTGGTCTAAGGAGGGTCTCTTTCCTCAGCCACAATCCTTTTTCCTTTCGGGGACGGGGGAACCCTTCCCCTCCCCTCCCCGGGCTTTTGTGTTTGAGGGGTCGCGAGGTGTCCGAGGTTCCTTTTTCGGCCAATGGGAGGGCCACTTCCAACACCCCTCACGAAGATCGTGACCCCTGGGGGGGGAGACATCGAGGACCCCCCTTTTTTCGGCCGACCGCCTATAAGGCCCTCCAGGGCTCCCAGAAAACCCCAAGAGGGTCCCCCGAGCGCCCCAAGAGGCCCCAAGAGGGCTACAAGGGGCCCCCGAGAGGCCCCCTCAATGCCCCCGAATGCCCCCCGAGCGGCCTCAGACAGCCCAAAATGACCTCCAAGATGGATCAAGATAGTCCAAGTTGGCTCAGGATGGTTCCAAAGATGCTCCAAGAGGCTCCAAGACCGCTCCAAGACGGCTCGAGATGGCCAGCCCACTCAGACGCCCCAGGGCTTCTAAATGAGCTGATTATGCGTGCCTTTTCCTCTCCCCCCGTCAGCTTAAGGCATCGTTTCTGGATGGGCTGGTGGGGATATTGGTTGGTCAACAAACTCGCGAGGCGGGCCGAAAGCAGTCCGAACACTAGTCGGGCCGCGACTAGATAGCAGGAGAAAGGCAAGCGAAGCGAGCGAGCGGGCAGCCAATCAAAAGGAGAGCCAAAGACGGCCCTCCCAAACCCGGTGGCGTTGGAAATCCCGGTCGCGACCAGCAAGTAAGCGCAGCGTAAATGGCGCGGCGGCGCGACCATAAACACGTAGAGGTCGATCACACGGTGTGAGTCACGCAAACAGCACCGTCAGAGACAAACTAGACCGACGGGCACACCCAGACGACATCCGTGAAGCAGGCGACACAAATGCCAAAACATCGTGCCGGGTTGGTGGGGGTACTGTTTTGTCGCAACCGCAGGCGGGGGCGCCAGCGGCGAGTCAGGTCCAAGCGGGCCGCGCAAGAGCCGAATTGCCCAACGCCGACGGGCCGGCGACTTCAGCGGCGCCTCGGCGGGCGGGCCGGCGCGAGGGGGGGTGCAAGCTGCAGCTGCCAGGGACCAGGTCCAGGAGCGCGCACGTGCAAAATTAGCCAACAAGGGTTGGGGCGCAGCCAACATGGCGCGAGGGTCGTACCAGGATGTGACCAGGGAGGCAAACGCTAGTACACTGCGTCGACTGCCATGGGTGCTTATACTGGCCCAAACTGGCGCATCGGGCGGCGCCACCAGAGTCGCGCGCCAAGTCTCCTGAAGGGAGTACTGATCCTGCGAACGACCGCCCACGGGATGGCCCCAAGGACGAGCGAAGTAGCCAGGGCAACGATGGATGTAATCGACGCGGTAAAACGTCTGAACCACCGGATCAGATAAAGCCACGCGCGCTCTCGAGGAGAGATCGCCGGCTGAGAGCTGACCAAACCAGGGAGGTCCACGTCTCAGCACCGTGGCGAGTGAGCACGAGGACGCCGTGAGCATCGCCGCCAAGGACCGCGGGGCGGGTCAACGCGGTCGCCACGAGAGCACGGGCTGAACCACGTGCACTCGGGAGCCTCAGGCGCCCCGGGACGGGGCTGAGCAGCTGGAGCTGCGGGGGCCGGGGGCCGGAGCTGACGGAGTCGCTGCGACGCCCAGCCGCCTGAGCGGGGGAGGGGCCAGGAAGGGGCGGGGCAAGGCGACCCAACCGCGGGGGGCGCGCCGGGCACCTGTGGGCGCGGGGAGTGGAGCGCGCCGATCGCGGTGAAAACAGCTACAGCAGGGACAGGGGCCGACTAAGGCAGGTGGACCACGGCCCCAGCGGCAGTCCACGCGCCGGCATTGTCAGCAGGCCGCTGCCGGAATCCCAAGGGCGGGGGGCAGCGGGGGCTGGGCAGAAAGCGCTACCAGGGTTTGGCTGAAGGCCACTGGTTTGTCGATTACAAAGAGAACACCATCCAGCGCGGGCGCGCATGTCGCCTCGCGCGTCGCCGCGGTGAAAGACCCCGCGAGTCCTCTGTCAGCTGCAAGGCCCATCCCCCGGGCAGGGAAGGCGTGACGCCCCCATGCCGAGTGGCCGGCTGTGGCCCACTGCTGGTCGGCATACCAGGGGAGCAGGAAGCAGCTGAAGGCTGCGCTTCTGCACGGTGCCCACAGCAAACATGGCGCCCTTGCGCGGTGGGCTGCGCCTAGGGCGAAACGTGGGCGGGCCCGCAGTGCAGCGCAGAAAGTGCTACCAAGGAGTGGCTGATGGCCAATGGTTTGCCGAGTACAGAGGGGGCCCCACCCTCTGTGGGAACGCGCGTCGCGTCGTGCGACGCCGTCGTGAACGAACCCCGCGAGCATCCTCTCTGCTGATGGGCCTGTCCTCCGAGCAGGGGGGGCCTGGCGCCCCCATTCTGAGTGGCCCGATGTGGCCCGCTGCTGGTCGGCATATACATGGGTGCCAGGGAGCAGCTGAAGGCGGCACCTTCTGTAAAGTAGCATGCGCGGCGCGCTGCGTCCAGTGTGAAACAAGGGCGGGCGGCCCCGCAGCGTTGGGAGAGAGCGCCGCCGCCGCCGCCGCGGGGGGGGCGCCGCGAGGGGGGGGGGGGGACGCAGCAAGCGCTGCCAGGGAGTGGCTGTCGGCCACTGGGCGCCGAGAACCTCTGGGTCACCGCCATGTGCGGGGGCGCTCGTCGCCTCTCCCGTCGCCGCTGTAGCCACCGCCTCGGTTGCCCCCGTTCTGCCAGTCATCGCCGTCCCAGGCGCGCGACCAGGACCGAGTGTCCCAGCCCCAGGGTTGCTGGGAACTTCTCGCTCGGCCCTTTGGCTGGAGGGCGCCTTTGCCCTGGCCCCCCGTCCATTTTGCGCGCTCCCCGCCCCGGTCGACTTGAAGGTCAAGCCGACGACCCATCTCGTAGGCGTCGAACCCACAGCGCTTCCAGGCGTCCAGGAAGTCGCGGTAGGATGCATCGGAGTTTCGCGCGGGGTCACTCTTCGGCTTGCCTTTGGGTCCCGCGGGGTGCTTTCTGGTGTAGGCGTGCCGGACGCCGCTGGAGACCCCTCCCAGGAATTTCTGAAGTCGCGTTATCTTGGCTGCTGGTGTCTCGCCGACCCTATCGGGCTCAACGTTGCCCATCAGTTCCTTGTACATGCGGCCTCCGTCCACTGGGTCGACGAGGTCGTCGAAGACCCGACTCACGGCCCTGCTGTGCCTCCACGGGAGTCGTGTCGCGCCCGGCTGGAGTTGCTGCTGGCGCACAGCTGCTACCGGGTGCGCCGACTGGGGCCGCTTGCCTGCGCGGCGGGTCGCGGCTTGCCCTGCGCGGCGAGCCGACGCTGGCCTGGCCCCTGCGTGGCCTTGCTCGGGCCTGCTTGCGCCGGCCGTGCCTCTGCCGAAGATGCTCAGGGGGTCCTCGGGGGGGCTGCCGCCGGTCGCGTCGCCTGCGGTGTCGAGCGAGGGTGGGGGCGAGCTGCTTTCCAGGTCGGCAGTGGCCTCTGCTGCTTCACCAGGCGGCGGCGAGGCCGCCGGCCGGTTCTCGTCGGCGCCAGCCTCGCCGCCGCAGTCGATCCCTTCGCCGTCGGCCTTCTCGGTGGGCGCTGGGCTCGTTGGAGAGCAGGCTGCCTCTTTACCAGGGGGGGGGGTTGCCGCCTCCTGCTCTGCCGCCTGACGGGCGCGTTCTGCCTGCGGCGCGGGTGGCTCGGCCTCCTTGGGGGCCGCGCCGCTGGGTAGGGCACTGGAGGCCGAGGTTGCCTCGTCCGCTGCCGTCGCTGCCCCTTCGGACTTTGGCGTGAGCCAAGTCCTCGTGGCTTCTCTTGGGGACGCCGAGCGCGCTTCGTCCGCGCCCTCCGCCGGGGGGTCTTGTCCAGCCAGGGTGGTGATGGAGGCAGCGGCGAGTGCCCCTGGGTCCAGGCTGGCGAGAAAGCTGGCGAGGACGGCGCGGTCATGGCGGAAGGGGCTCGGGCCCTCGCTGAGGGCCAGGCCCGAGTAGTGAGCTGCCCAAGCCTCCTTGTGCTTCGCGCTGCAAAGTAGGTGCCCTACCACCGTGGCCGCTGCCCATCTCTCGCCGTCCCAGAGGGCGCCCTCCGGGGGGCCGCCTTCTGGGATCTCTGCGCCGTATAACTTGGCCAGGAAGGGGTCAGCTGGTGCGCGGGCCAGGAAGTTCCCTGATCTTTCGGTGCTGGGATCTCAGCGCAGACTGCCTTGACGAAATCCATCCAGCGCCCGTCCAGCGCGGGGTGGTAAGCCCGTAGGTGGTCGCCTAGGGTGTGATGGGCCTCCTTCCACATCTTGTAGCGGCTGCGTTTGGAGCCACTTGCCTCGTCTAAGGCTAGCGCAGAGACGCTACTGCAGCTCAGTCTTGGGGCCTCTGGTGGCGGTGGATCTGGGAGCAAACCAGGACCTCGGGGACTGCGCGGCTGAACGGGTCGGGCTGGGGTCTGCCGCTGCGGTTTCCGCCTCTGCTCGCCGCTGGGCCGGCGGAGGCCTTGCTGCGGGCGTGGGGGTCGGGCGCGTTTGCGTCTGCCGCTGCTCGAGCTGGGTGGCCAGGTCGGGAGCGGCGTCGCAGGCGTCCGCCTGCCCTGTGCGACGCGGGCGGGCTGCTGGCTACCGCGGGAAGACTTCTCCGGAGT